CCAATCTCCCGTTAACAGAACCTTCTGATAAACCTTTCTTCTTTCACCGATCGTATCGCATCATTTACATCTGCCCCTCGCGCTGTGAATCCAATCGAAGAACCGTCGGAGAGACGACGACTGATCGGGGCTCAATAAGGTCTCCAAACGTCGTTCCTCTGCTCGTTCTCCTCGCCCATCACGCCGATCTCCAGCCTGTTGCTGCTTATGGTCAGATTGCTGCCGGCAATGGTCACCTGTTCCTCGCTCAGGTCCCCGTGAAGGTGCAGGTGGATCTGGTTCTGGTTCACCGTGCTGTACAACTGCGGGTAGAGGACCATGGGCGCCGGGCTGATGTAGTTCTGGCTCGGGTTGTTGTAGTAGCCCTGGTAATTCGGGTTGTAGTTGTGCGAGGCGACCGGGACCGGGGTTGCCGGCCCCGAGTGGGTCCACGAGCCGTAGTGGTAGCCCGGGCTCCCCCCGCTCCCCGCCCCTCCGCCCCCCGCGAAAATGTCCGGCTCGCCCGATTTCGCGGAACCAACGGCAACGAGGTCGACGAGCTTCCGTGGCTCGTCGGATACATCGACACGCAGTTCGGCGTGTACGTGTCCTGTTGGCTGTCCGACGGCAGAACTGCAACATTCCAAACATTCCATTTTTGCAGCGTTCACGACGTGTCATAGATCGTCAGCTTTCGAACAAACAAAGATTTTTTCGGCGAAGATTCGAACGGAGAACGAGTCTCAGAATGGAAATTTCCCCCTCCCTCCCATCCCCCCTTATCAGTTGGCAATGGTACAGGTCGGATGGTGAGAAAGGGTTTCACGAGAACTCTCCTCCAGGAATTCAGATTCATGCACTTCGATCGGTCATAACGAACAAAGATCGGAACGAGTTTCCCTCGCGTTCGAGAATGGAAATTTTTCCTCCCCGCTTACCAGTTGGCAATGGTACAGGCTCGGTGGTCGGGTGATGAGAGAGGGCCTCACCCGGATACGAGAACGCTCCTCCAGGAATCGGTGAGAACGAGCCGCCGCTGCTTACCGGGGGAGCAGGATAAGACGGTGCCGCCGACGGATAAGTCCATTCCGCGCTCCCTGCTGTACCCGTATCTGCAACAATTCGTCGGGATCCTTGTTATTGTATCCGTATGTGTGTGTGTGTGCGCGAGGAACGAAGAAGATGGAGAAGAGAGGGGGCACGTACGAAAAGTAACGGTGAGGTCTCGAATGAGTAACTCGGCCGGATTAATTGAAATGAGTCACGGGGCAAGGTGTGACGAGGAAGCGATTGCTCGAGAAATATACGTTCTATAATCATCTTTTAATTCATCTATCGGAATAAACGACGGATCGAGATCTCTCTCTCTCTCTCTCTCTCTCTCTCTCTTCGTATATACGCGTGTAAAATACGTGTGTGCAAGCAATTATATATTATTATCATCATCTCGTGAAATATTTATCGCAGAGTTATTCGCGACTTCCGTCGGACGTCCGATGAATATATGTATATACGTGTGTATATACGTATCCAAGTATTGGCTCGAGAAGCGATAGCACCTTAGAGTAAAAGCAGAGTTGGAGAGGAAAATGAGTCACCGATGATTCGGCAAAATGAACGCGCTCGCCATTTATTTGCCTCGGCGGCGGTCGAACACGAGAGTATTATGAAACGTGTATTCTCGTTTCCCCCGCGAGTAAAGTTTCACGAAAAGAATCGACGCATAATATTTCGCTCCTCTTTTTTTCCTCCTCTCTTTTTTCCCATCCTTCCTCTCAATCGCTCGTTTCAGCTTTCATTCGACATCGGTAATCCTATAGTCTACTTCCCGTTGGCCTTCGAGTATTCGTTCCAAAGAATCCACTCCACTTTTTCCCGCTCTATTCCGCTCTATCGATGCGCGCTTCGTTCCAAGGCGAGAAAAGGAAGGGAAAAAATTGTGAAAACGTCATCAACGTTCGAAAAGGTCAAGGAACCCGATGCGTCTCACGATCGCATACGTGACGCGCGCGAGAGCATTGGCGATTCGACAGTCGTCGGCTCGATGATGACGCTCCGTTCAAGGGCGGATCGAAGACTTCCAAGAAACTGCTTCACGAGGAAACGAGCAACTTTCCAAGTATCGTCGATTATATTCCTTCATCGAGGCTTCTCGAAATTTTTCCCGACCGGGAGTTACCATTGTTCGTTGTGGTTAAAAAAATAAATTTCGAGAAAAGATTCTTACGAAATTATTTCGCGGAACGAGCCGAGAAACTTCGAATCCTCTGTATTTACAAAATTTGCAAGTTTTCGAATCGTAACTTCGATTGGAAAACCGGATCGTGTTGAGGTTTCCTTACTTCGTTCAACGAGAAATCGATTTTGCTAAAAATCGTAGTTCGGAAATCTAAATTATGAAAGAATCCTCGTCGATTCGAATAATCTCTCTCTCTCCTTTCCTCGTCGGAGCGAGAAGAACCGATACGACGAGGATTCGTGGGAGGGAAAATAAAAATAATAAAATCAAGAATTTACACAGAGATTCGGGAAGCGAGAAAAATGTATATAATCGTATTTTAAAGCGGAGAGGTAAATGGAAAGCGATGGAAGGAAACGGTTTCAACGGTCAAGGCGGGGAGGAGGTGTTGGAGAGAATTGATTAGAAAACCGTCGATTTTAATAGGCGATAAATCACGGGTTTCGCCATTGGCTTCGTACTACGAAACTCGCTTCGTAATCCCGCGTTGGATTATGAGGGGCTGCTTGCGCGCAAGAAACGGTCGGCGGTTTTGTAATTAACGGTTGCTAATTCCCTCGTAAACCTATGGACAAGCCTTTACGCTACGCGAGAGCCTTCGAATTATTCAACGGGCCTCGAGTCGATCGCACGCCTCTTTTAAAACTCCTCTTTCCCGTATTTTACTCGTCTCTCCAGTCTCTCGTTTCGCGCATTTACGACCTCCATCGAACGATTAAACGAATCTCGCAACGCGAAATCACACGAGCCTAGCCATTTTTCAATTTTTCTCTCGGCTTTTCCCGAGAAAAAAAAATCGCGGAAAAATTGATGGATCTTGGATTCAACGAGGTTGGATAAAAGAGGAGTGGATCGAGGTCACCCAGGAGGATAGAGGATCCTCCGGCAAAACTGTCGTTACGCCTACTGACCGAGGAAGGAAGGAAGGAAGGAAGGAAGGAAAGAAGGAAGGAAAAGGAAGGAAGGAAGGAAGGAAGGAAGGAAGGTCGAGGTCGTTTCGGAATTCTCAAAGGGGACCGCCGCGGGGATGGGGGCGTGGGGATGATTACCGAAAATGGCGTGCATTTGCCGCAATTACCGGAACAACGGTAAGAAAACAAAGCGGAGCGGGTCGGGCACCATCTGTTGGATAATGGTTCGTTTCGAGGATCCGTTCAAGGAAGACGAGGAGACGGCCGCTTCTATGAACCGCTAGAACTTGGGGAGATCTCTCTCTCTCTCTCTCTCTCTCTCTCTATCGGATCGAGTCGGGTGAAAATTCGATCGCTTCGATACGAGGATCCAATTTTTCTTATTTTGTCAGCCACCTTGCCGGCTAATAAGACGAGACGAGACGAGATGAAATCGTACTACTCTCTCTCCGCTTCGAAACGTTTCGTCGAGTTTCATAGTGTTTCAACCGCAGCAGACACGCAGGGAGAAGGCCTTTTGCAAGGTGGAGGAAAGCGTATCGGACTTTCCCATCGTCGACCAGCCCGTTTATCGGCTCGGATTCGACTCGGTGTCGTTACGCCGCGGTGGTCGGTCGCGATCCGGGGCGGAGAGGAGGGTTGGAAGAAATCATCAAGGTGTAACATCGCCGCCGTTCATCCCGACCGAAGGGACGCACGAGTCCTGACCAAAGCAACTCCCCGGAGTTGTTTACTACTTCCTCCTCCCCGTGTCCCTCTTCCTCCCCTCCCCGGATCTCTGTTCGTTGCTCTGCGGGTGTGAAACCACAGTGAGGTGGTTTTGGTGCTTAGTCTCCGACCAGCCATCTACTTAACGAACCGTCCATCGACCGCCGTCATTTCGTCGTTTCTCGCTTTCTCTCTCTCTCTCTCTCTCTCTCTCGCTTCCCCAGCTACCGCTATCCAACATCGTTCCAACATCGACCTCGTCTTTTTCCTTCCTCCCCTCCCCCCCCTCCTCCTCCTTCGATCGATCGAGAAACGTCTTCTATCCCGCGACGCGACATACTTGCCGTTCTTTCGGCAACAAGTTGGACGCCCGGCTTTGAAACACTCGTCCTTCCAAAGTGTGCGGGATACCCGCGGCATACCTTGTCCTTGACACGTTTCACCTTGCTTCGGGCATCTTTCTATCTCCTTCTCCTTCTCCGGACGCGTGTCAAGAATTTCGCGAGAGTGGCAAAAGTTGGAAAGAGAGAGAGAGAGAGAGAGAAGGGAGAACGTTCGTTGGGGAAGAATTTCGTCGAATTTTGTTGTCACAGCCTCTGTAGATGTAAGAAGGAAGATGGAAGAGAGAGAGAGAGAGAGAGAGAGAGAGAGAAAGTAGGAGGAAAAAAAATGAATATCCGCGCTGTTCGATGATGAAACGAGGAAATTGTACTTTTTTTTTTCCCTCCTCTTGCTTTTGTTCTTTTTTTTTCCCTCTCTTTTTTCCTTTTTTTTTTTTTTTAAGTTTCAGTCAGAGATGAAAATCACACAGAAATTGCGCAAGAACTTTTGAAAAATCCGCGAAATTACTATTTTTTTTTTTTTTTATTCATTATTCCATAATTGAAACGTTTGCCTCGCGATTTCGTCCACGCGGTTTGTTCCCAAACTGGCGGATCGATCGATGATCGAAGAAACGCGTTTGAGTTCGAACGCGTCCTCAAACTCGATCAGGGCGCGCCGTCGCTCGAAGACGGCGAAGAGGAGGGATAGAGGGAGTCTTTTGGACGGACGCGAGTGTTAATTCCACTTTAACGCCCGCCTCCACTCCCCTCGATCGAAATTATCCTCCAACACCGATGCATATTTCACGGTGTTTCGCAAACCTTGGCAGAAACTTGGCGAAGACTCGGAGAAGACTCGCTTCGTTTATAATTTAACGCTTCGTCCCCTCCTCCCTCCCCTTCTCCCCCCTCCCCCCTCTTTCTGGACTAATATCGATTATCTGCCGCTGCTTTGACGAGCATCGGAACGAACGAACGAACGAACGGTGGCCACCCCTTTTTCTCGCCGTCGCGTGCCTTCGCGTTCCTCCTCGTAATTTCACCCCGCGCCGATTACTCGGCCCCCGATATTTCTCCCTTCCTTCCTTCTTTTTTTCCTTTTCTAACCAGCCGTTTAGATTCTTCTATCGGGAAGGAAAATGTATATATATATATAGCTCGCTCGCTTCGCTACCTTCTCTCCTTTCAACGAGCCTACTTTTTCTATCTACTATTCCTCCCTCGGCAAACAATCGTACAAGAGAGAGAGTTCACCCTCTAATTCCTCGAGCATCAACTTTCACCCTACAAGCCGCGGAACGCAAACACGGTGATTCTCGGATTCCTTTGCACGAAATCTTCGGTACGTTGTGCAAACACTTGTTTCGTATAATGGTCCTGGATAAAGAGAGGGGGAGGAATCGTTGGTAGAAAAAGAGAAAAAAAGAAGGACGAGAATCGAGATCGAGGGGAGGATTAGCCACGAGAGGGAAGAAGAAGAAAAAGAAGAAGAAGGAAGCGTCTGAAACGATTACGAACGAAGAGAAGAAACTTTCTCTCTGTCGTACGAGAGAGAGAGAGAGAGAGAGAGAGAGAGAGAGAGAGAGAGAGAGAGAGAGAAAAGTTAGGAGGAGGAACGTGGAACGAACAGACGAAGCCGTGGGGCTTCGTTCCCACCAAGATAGATGCACACGTTTGGTCGTGTAACGTAAGTCGATATTGCGTCGTCTCGATATTCTTGCTCGACACGAATGTCGACACACGCCAACCAAGTACGTGTATGACACGTATCGAGAGGCGCAACGCGAACGACGCTCGGAGAGGAGAGAAAGAGAGAGGGAGGGAGAGGAGAGGAGAAGTCTTACGCATACGAACGGGCAGGAAACTCTTGTTGCCTCGCGTATCGCTTACCATCACCGATTTCTTCTTATACGCCGGGTATCCTGTCCCGA